TTATTAGATATTTTATTGCTGCTGTTACTATAATTCTGGTGGAAGTGCAATTAAGAATTTAATGAATCTTAACATGGTTTTCTGCAATCTGAATGCATTCACCTATTCTCATTTACCAAAGCTTTAGACATCATTTGAAGTAAATGGTGCCGGCTTGGCCTCCTCAGTGCCTTAGTTCTCTAGAAATAAAATGAAATCATTTGTTCAGATGGAGTCACAGCACCTTCTTTCCCAACTGAAGAACATATACAGCCTTGTGGAGCTGATGACTCAAACACAATGCGTGATAGTTTGCATACTGCTTTACATGATATTTGCATGCTACTGGTTCATTTTTGCTGGAAGTGAAAAATCCGCTCACCATCTGCTTCTCTGCTAGTCCCTAAGATCTCTAGGTGTTGAGTTGGCTGCCTTTGCCTCAGAAAAACAAAGCAACCTGCAAGCACCATGCAGCTGCTGCATGTACCCCTACTGCATGTGCCACTATGGCCGGTTAGCTGGGCTAAGCAGAGAAAGAAAGTCTGTCCTTGGCTGTAGACCACACCACTGATTTAGTCACCCGCATCACTGAGGACCAGCCTACCCTGAGGATGGCCAGTGACTCCAACGTAGTGAGCCACAAACAGCATCAGTAGTATTTCCTGAAAGCAACACTTGACTACACATATGCCTGATGGTAAATCAGATGATACATAGCTAAGTGGCTTGGAGAATATTCTCGACTACCAGTGGCTTTTGCACCGAACCAGCACAAAGCTTCTCTTTTCCTGAGCATGAATAATTAAATGGTAAGAAATACAGAACAAAGATTTATTTTCTCTCTCAAAACTGTCAAGATTTAAAGCAAATGCATGACAGCTAAAATCTAGCAATAAAAAAGAAAAATTAGCACTTAATTAATCAAGAGCCCAATTGCCAGAATCTTCTGTCAGCTCTAAACATTTGTTTAAACTGAGCTCTTGAATTCCTGACTGCTTGTCCACGAATGATAACAGACCTACATTTCCAAAGACATGAAAAAGTTCACTTAGTTCTTCTGTCTTGGGAAGGGTGCATGGTTTCATAAACTCAAGTACAATGGCACCTCAGTTCACAAATTTCATTCATTCCTTGATTCCGGAAATGACAGCCAAGTTCATGTTCATGTGGAAAAGATAGCAAAAGCAAAAAAAAAGAAAAAAGATAGCCACGGTCGTGTCTGTTAGCTGATGCAGAGCTCATGAACGAAAACAAAATTTTGCTAAATTCTTCAGCTTGTAAAGTAAGTTGTTCATGAATAAAAGTATTCACAAACCAAGGTACTTACTGTATCTACATGATTAGTACATAATATTGGCAATCATTCTATAAGATATCAACTATCCATTGTTTATAAAACACTTGCAAATAATCTGAAGACTTAAGTGTCCCATAAATGATCTGTTAGTCAGCACATATAAACATCAATTCATATTATCCTTACTTTTTGTATGAGATGTTTATATTCTTATATAAATAATGTTTCCATCCAAATGGCTATAAAGATCTAAATTTGTATCTGGATAGTAAGACTTGAATACAGCAAATATATTTAAACTTAATAGATTTTAGAGGTGTTTATTAAAGATTTATTAAAGGAAAAGTATTTGTTAGGCTTTTAAAATTATTACAAGGCAGATGTGTGGTGGTACACACCCATAATTCCAACAATAGGGAAGCCGAAGGGCAGGAAACTGGAAAATTCCGTTCGCACTTGGGTAAATTTATGGGAACTCTGTCTCAAAAATCAGTCTACCTACCTAGCGTCAATGATTAGAAATCAATGAAGTTAATGTAGGCCTGGTGGAATTGCTCAGTGGCAGAGTACTTGCTAGCATGCACGAAGCCTTGCACTGTAAAGGGAGCAAGGAAGGAAGGAAAAAAGAGGGAGGGAGGGAGGGAGGGAGGGAGGGAGGGAGGGAGGAGGGAAAAACACTTGTGCACTTCTATGGGGATTTAGAAAAAAACAAAGACTTCAGTTAAACTAATTTTTTTTTTTTTTTTTTTTGCGGAACCGGGGATTGAACTCAGGCCCTTGCGCTTGCCAGGTAAGCACTTATTCTACTGAGCTAACTCCCCAGCCCAGTTAAACTAATTTTTCAAAACTTAACTCTTAAGAAACATTTGCTATGAAGATCCCCATCTATGGCATTAATTGCTTCCTTGACTTGACACTTCTATAGGTGACTTCAGAATGTGAGAAATTTTAGAAGTTATCTAGTCCAATGCCATCTTTACAGATGAAGAAATCAAGGTCTGGCCTGGGAACTCACTGGGGTAGGAGGAACCCAAGAGCAAGAACCTAGAAGATGCGCTCTTGAAATTGGATGTGGGGTAGGGGTGGGCAGTGGGAGTGGGGGTTGGAGCTTTGGGCGTGTAGAAACCCTGTGGGCATGTGGCTCTGGTAAGTGGCTCAGAACAGTGAAGGAAAAACTATGCTTTCAAATGAGGAAGAGACATGGCAGGAGTTGAGTCTTGAGGAAGGATAATCTAACACAAAGCTATTCTGGGCACAGAAGTTGAGTTAATTGTCCAAGACTGAGGTCATGTGGTGAGAGGTTCCTCTCCAGGAAATGAGGGATGAGCCTGGATACAAAGAGCAGATGCACAGTCATTTGCTTAGTCCCTAAATAGCCTAGGGAAGCAGCTCTCTTTAAAGAACACAGAAGAAGACATAAAGGCAACAGGCAGGTGTGAGAGTGACAGATAAATCATCTTTCAGGTCCTGTTCAATCAGAACAGAAAAGCATCACCTCCTTAGATGGTCATTCATCACCCAACAAGCTCCTGATCCAAGTCTACACATGAGGCCAGAGTCCGGCTTCTCAGTGTACGTAAAAAAAAAATCTTCCCATTCCTGTCTTGAAGCTGCTGCTAAATGTGGGGCAGGGAGGGAACAGAAGGGGATGTGCTGGCTACATGCCACTGAACCCCATCATGGAGAAGCCCAGGATGGTAGCCCTCACCGGGTTTGTGTCTGTGCCTGACAGGCTGACTCAATGGGCACTCTCCCAGGGATACCCATCAGCTGGCTTCCAACCAGGTTCAACCAACAGGAACCCCTGGCCCGAGACAGCAGGTGAGAAAAGAGAAAGAACACAGTACTTTTTCAATTCCTCCTGTAACTCCTGCCCAGTGGCCTTTCCACAGCAGCTATGTAGACTCTTTTGAGAGTCTACAATAGCATTCCCTTCCCGGTCCTTGCAGTCCCAGGGTGGCCAGCCCTTTCTGGGTGATTCTACGCTCCTGGCCAGTTTCCTTGTCCTCTTTCATTCACTGTTGATGCATCTGGGTTGGAGATGTATCTGTCTCTTGCCAGAACCCTGAGTAGACACAACAGATAGAGGCTCGGAGATAAATAGAGCATCTTATGCACACTTCCATTCGCTGTGCAAAAGTTTACACTGAAATCCAAGACATGTTACCCTCAAAATGGAAAATCCACATGTACTTTTGAAATAAAGTTGTGGCCTTGGGTGTTCACACTCCTTTGTTCCCTGAGGTCTTCAGTGGAGGAGACAGAAAGGACACTTCATTAGGAGGAGAGATGCCTCAGGCCTTGGTCTCTTGCTTTGTTAAGGGAAGTACAATTGGGGTAAATTTCTAGACTATTTCAAGTGTGCTGATCGTCCAGGGTATAGAGACAATAACAAGATAAACTCATGACAAGCAAAGACAGGGAGTGGGGGTCAAGCCTGAAAAACCAGGAATGCTGACTAGATTTCCAGGGCCTACAGGACCAACAGAATCCCAGGATGTCTAGCCCTGACCAGGAAGCTGCTCCTCCTCTGAGGTCATGGTGTTTGGAGTTTAGTACTTTTGTTGCTTTCAGAATAAAGAATCTTCAGGAGGGCTGGAGAGACAGCTCAGTGGTCTAAACACCTGCCTGGCAAGCCCAAGGACCTGGATTCAATCTCTGGCACAAGATGCCATGCTGGCCCCAGAACCCTGGGCATGCAGGGCTGGCCACTGAAACACCAGGTGTGCTGGTGCATGCCTGTAATCCCAGCGCTGGGGAGGCTGAGATAGGAGGATCACTATGAGTCTGAGCTGCATAGCAAGACCCTGTACCAAATAAATAAATAAGTAAATAAATACTAAAAATTTTTAAAGTCTTCAGGAAACAGATGGGGTATGTAGCCAGATGTTTTATTACTAAATGGGCAGAGAACTACGCATTAATCACACATCAGCACATCTCCCATAAGGCCCAACTTTTAAATCCCCCACATCAAAAGGAAAGAAGTGTCACTTAAAATAAAATTAAAACACCAGTTTATTTTGATCCCTGGTAATCCTGGATAAAGCAAGGGTTAATCATGATGTCCTGGCCAAAGGTCCCTTGAGCTGAACCTGAAAGAGGTGAGGCTTCAGCTTCTAAGAGCTCGTGTATGAAAGCAGAAAGTACTGGATTCCTGGGAGGGCACAGTGCAAAGTCACGGTGGGGAAGCGTAGGCAGCTGGGTGTCCTGCCAGGCCCCCCTCCAAAGGTCCCCTGGAGTGGGGTCTCTTGCCTCTTATCCCTATATCCTCTCGGTATTCTGCCTCTGCTGTGTTCTCACTGAAAGCTGGTTCTGAAGCCAGAAAACATCTGAGTAATATGGATTCAGAACAAGCACAGGTATCCGTGTGAATTACTACCTGAATGACAATGCTCGGACCTCACCTACGCTTCCAAAGTGCATTTTCACTAGGACACAGAAGGCGCAAGCAAAATTATCTCCAATCTTTTAATTGTAATGAAATGATTTTTTAAAATGACCAGAGGGGCTGGTGAGATGGCTCAGTGATCTAAAGCACCTACTCAGAACAAGCCTAACAAAGCACAGGGACCGCAGTTCAATCCCCCAGCACCACATGCCAGCCAGCCCCGCCCCCTGGTGGGCTGAGCTGGCCACACACACACACACACACACACACACACACACAAAATGATCAGAAACCATTAGAAATCAGTAAGAACAAGACAGCTAATGTGCTTACCTGCTGTCCCCAGCATTTGCCACGTACAGCTTCCCCAAAAGGCAAACCACAATCAGGGCTGTGCAGCCGCCAGATATGTTATAGGAACTCCTCTCTCGTTCTATTTGTAGGTCCTGGAGAAGACAAGAAAGTTAGTGTTGGGTTGTGTGGAAGCTGGCATCAAAGGCTTTCTTAGGCTGACTCAACACAGTCCTATGCCAGGACACGCTCTGAGAAGGGACAAGAAAATCCTAGGGCTTGGTCTCCTAGGACCTAATGGAGACTCCGAAGCAGACAGTGCACAAAGCTGCCCTGTAACAGACCATCTGCAGATCGGAGACAGCAAACACAAGCAATCAGACTAAATGAGGACACAATGTAAGTCATATTCAATACGTATTCCCATTTAAAGGAAATTTAGTCTTTGTGTGGATTGCCCGAGTGCCGTGTGGAAAACAGAATAGCGAACCTGAGGATGCCAAGTACTTGGAGCTGATCAATGTTTTCAACTCCAAAGCCTTGCATAGTTCCTTTTACAGCTAATTAAAAGAAGGGTTTTGAAGAATTGCCTTCTATTCAGGCAGGAGCCGATCCATGACTTATACATCAAACATCTACACTTCTGAACTCTGATCTCCTCCTCCAACTGCCACCGATTCATAATGGTGCCTCGTTTACAATGACAATGACCAACATTTCCAGAGCCCTTTCTTGACGCTGAGCACGGGGCTAGGCATTCGATTACCATCACTACTACCTTCATTGTTTATAGGCACAGACGTGGGTAGAGTCCTCTTAGAGACTGGACTACAACCTGGTTCTCTTCCTCCAGAGACTGTTGTTCCCTGCCACCTAATAAAGCATCCCCAAGAAAACTAAAAACAGACCCACGCGTACATCGACAGAAGTCCACCAACAAGACAGATGCCTTTGTGAGGCCACATCAGTGGCAGAAGCAAGAGTTCTGTGTCCTCAGAAAAGTATGGGTTGAATTAGCAAAACACACTGACATCGAGCTAAACGTAATCTCCTCTTGTTGGGCAGAGGGAAAGAAAATAGGGTTTGGTAATTATGGGAAGAGGAACAAATGGCCCTGATTTCTGATGGTGCAGTTGGTAGATTCAGGGCTGGGACACTTGTGTGTGTCTTGGAAACTCACAAAATAAGGGCTGCCTGAGAGAGACCCCGCATAGAAGGGAGTTAATTTCAGGCAACTCAACATTTTACTAGCAACTGCTGCGATGGAAGGGCCACAGATATGAAGACAGACAAATCACCAGCATGTGATTGAGAATACAGCAGAGGATTAGCAGCAGAACACTGCCTAAAGAAAGAGTAGGCAGAGAAAACATACGAAGAGCAGACCAAGGAGAAGCTAACACGGTGGGAGTGCTCTGGTAAGGGCAGGGGAGCTGTGGAGTCACGCGGACCTACCCGGTGGGCTGTGGAAATTCAAGGGCAAGCAAGAAGGAACTTGAATAAGGAGGAAGACAGTGCACCAAGGGCTGTGAAAGGGCCAAACGGGAGACTGGGTTCACAGGACTATGCTAGATGCCCCACACTTACTTAAAAATCTGTATAAACAGGCTCTCTTAGGGGATTGTTGTATGAGATTAGATGGCACATGTAGGGTTTTGACAGCCATGGAGATTCTTCCCACATCCTGGAAAGTTCACGACCGAGTATTAGCAGTAATTGTTATCAGTGAGTTTTCTTGCTCTTTTAGAACCTCAACACACCCGTCGGGCCAAGTAAACAGGAGTTTAAGAAAAGTCCATTACATAGGCGAGTAAAGAAATACACTACAAAATGCTCGGGCTTCCTAAATGTCTCACTTCCACCTTACTTCTGCTTTCATGTGAGAAATGAAGTCCGTTTTTAAGTCAGAAGTCCAACGCCTATCCCGCAAATGCACCTCAGAATAATAATTACACAGGAATCCTTGCTTCAATCCAATGCAATCCATGGGCAGCAATGACTGCGTGCTTCTCAGATCCTGCACAGAGATGTCGGGGGCTGGTGGGTGAAGAGAAGGCGGGACATGGATGTCAGCTAGGAAGGATTCTCTCAAGAAAATAACAGAGAAAAGAGTCAAGATACCAATATTTTGTGTATGAACTTTAAAATACACAAATGACACCAACAATCCTACCTATCAATTCCTTTGTGGGTATATCTGCTAATTTTTGTTATTTAGCTCATAAAGCTGATATTATATGTGCTTTTCATGCATAATCAATAAATAAAATGGTATAACCAAGTCCTCATTTAATGAAGGGGAAGGAACTTCTCAAAAAATTATCCCTTCACAACTAGAATCAGTATGTTTGAATAGCTCTAAGATCTAAAGGAAAGACAATTTTTATTAAAAAATTCTTTGAGTACCCAACTCCCCTTGCATGTTGCATATGGATTGGAATGTGAATTATGTTTGTAGGGCTTAAGAGAATTATTAGTTCAATCCAAAAGGGGAGAAAAATCTGACAGCATACAAAGTCCATATAAAAATGTTGTTCATGGCAAAGAATTCCCCTGGCACTCAGGCAAACAGATTTATTCTGCATCGTAGGTAATGACATTATTTATCATGGCTTCTAACATAAGCAAGAAAATCTAATTTTAGAAGTATTTAGTCTTCGGAGAGAAAAATCAAGGTAGAGGGTGGAATACCAAAATATTCTGCTAAGGGACAGTTCCTATTTGCCCTGAATGTTAGGGAGAATGTTCCAGTCAGTTTATTTAGTTAATCCCTTACAATTAGATTAAGAGTGTGGTTCTGGATTTTTTTTCTAATTGATTCATTGTTTCTTTTGTCTTTTTCCACATTCCCTCTGTAGTTTGCTCTGAGTAAGAAATGCGACTTTTATTCAAGAGACTTGGCTCATCCGTGCAGGCCTCGTTGTCTTCACATATGCGGGGGAACACACAGGTGTGTCCACACATGTGCATATTAACGAGAAGCACACTCGGGGCAATCACAGGGCGATCACAACTTGAAAGCTGTGTTTCTGCAGACTTCAGCCCCTGAAGGATTCACTGACATTAAAACACACTCTTCTATTTCTTATAAAACTGTGTGCAACTAGAACAGATTCTAAAAATAATTGCTTCCCTCCTCTCCTCCCTAGAAGCCAAAATAGCACATTTATTTTTGCCTACACACACCACCTACTCCTCTTTAAAGGATGTTTCATGAAATCTTAGTACTGAAAGGAACATTAAAAGAACCATCTGGGTGGTTCTTTTACTATCAGATTAAACATGATAAATGAAGTCAATAAAGATATATTTACCATTGAATTTACTGCCTTTTCCCCTAGGCCCTCAAGCTTTCAAATTAGCTTAAGCTTTTTACACTTTAGGTAAAAAATAAAAATGGATATGGGTTTTTAAAAAACCCTTAAGATGTATGTGTGTGTTTTTTTCCCCCCACAAATCAGTGGAATCATGAGCTAAACTGCCTACTGCTTTGTGTGAAGCACCAACTTATTTGGAATATTTCTCTATTTTAGCTGCCAATGAACGCCAAGATGTTAGTCTAGAATAACTTAGTAGCAAAGCACATCCACGTAGTACCATCATTTTCAAGGTTTAAAGAATCACTTCGGTGCAGAAGATTCCCTTCACATGATGAATAATTTATCTGCTCAATCAAAGGCCCTGATCCATCTCATGGAAACGTGCTACTTATTAGTAGGTCTGGGTTACTGTATTCTGTGCTGTGACAGAAATCTCTCTAACTCAAAGACGAGATCCAATTTGTAACGCTGGAGATTTTTTGGTCCTTGTCGTTGCAAGGGAAGAGTGAAAGCGGAGAAGGAACAGAGGTATGTGTGAAAGGAGACCGATTCAACTGGAAAGAACCGCAGGGGAAAAGCATTTTCTTGTCTAGAAGGGTTGCAATTTGGCCTGAACCTCTCATAGATGGTGCAGCTCCAGGGTCAGCCTCTGTTCCCTACCAATTCTCAGGTCGCAAAAGCAGTCAGCAGAAGAATGCAAGTGTGGGGTGCTTTCAATAGGACCTGGAAGCTCTCCCTGGCCGGGTTAAAATATGGTCCGAGCACACTGCTAATGGTGTCCTCACGAGTAATAAGGCACGGTTTTAATATCCAGGTCTCATCCTGGTTTATTCTAAGAACAAGGTCATCTTCAGCGAGTAGTTGAAGAAAGAGGGGGAAAAAGAAAACAATAACATCAACTCCCCCCCACCACCACCACCACTATAAAACCACACACCCGGCCAGTACCACCCAGCACTGCCACCTGCTGGCTGCTACGGAACTGCATGCTCAGTCCTCCCTGAAGGAACTAACAAAACCCAAGATGGAAAAAATAAAATGCTGGCTTAAATGAAGGCAGATATCCAAGTTCCTAATTTATCATTAATATGGTAGAGTTTTTTTTTAATCCATATTTACAAACTGCAAGTAATCTCTGCTTTCTTTCTCTCCCTTTTCACTGCATTGTCACGTTATAGTTTTTACCAAGAAAGCTAAGCTGATTGGTATTCCCAACCAATTTACTGGGTGAAATAGCAAGATCTTTTGGAGACTTAAAGTTAAAATATTGCCATTTTCTCCTTTCCTGATAACCAAACTTCTAGAACATTTTAGAACATTCTTGGCATGGAATCTACACTCACACTGTAAAAAAGAAATAGGCCAGAATTGTATTTCCTGCCCATATCCAGAACTCATGCCCAGTAGCTGACAAGCTAAAAGGCTAACCACTGCTTGAGTTGGTTCTCATCACTAAGAAGGGAAAGGCCTATGTCATAACCCTGGCCCTGGAACTTTCTCTGCCAATCAGAAATAGTCTATTTAACCAACTGTTCGGGAAGGTGGGACAACAGGGAGATTTGAAACCAGAACTCAGCCCCAGGCCAAGGAACAACCCAAACATAACAGGTGACAAAACTTAACGCTCAGCCAGCCACTGCTGCAAAATATCATAGGAAAGTAGACTGGATGGAAGTCTAAATGTTCCAGAGATGCTTGTTCTTCAGGAGGCCGCAGTGTGTTTCTCACAGCAGACACAGGGAGAACTGGCTCCACAGCCTTCTCTCTAGGAGGGCAGACCCAGCGGGACACAGCAGGACACAGCAAGGGGGTGATGGGGCAACCCACCCTTGACA